GAGCGAGACAAGTGATTGCTGCCAACCAAACAATTGACCAGATGCTAGATGCAATTAAAGCAAACTGCATCTCGAAAGTAACAGCAGAAAACCTCATAGCTAAACTTTCTGCAATCAAAAAAAAAGACGACGTAACTGATTTTTGTGATCAAGTAGACAGAATTACTGCTCAGTTAAAATCTGTTTATTTAAGTGACAACATACCTGAAGTCACAGCACACAAAATGGCCACAAAGCATGGCGTAGATGCCCTAATCAAGGGCACTAAAAACAATGAAACGCGGATTGTTCTAAAAGCAGGTAGTTTTACCCACATTAACGAAGCAATTCAGAAATTGCAAGAAAATGTGCAATCAAGCCAAAGCAGCGGAGAGTCTGTCCAAAACGTTACTCGAATATTGTGGACATCGAGAAATGGAAATCGAGGTCGCAGAAATTTCCAGTCACAACTTAACTATAATTTCCAGCAAAGTAGGGGAAATTTGCAAAATTATCGTGGAAATTTTAATACAAGCAGAGGTTATCAACGATATCCTCATCAGAGGGGAAATTTTTCACAACGTGGGCGATTTAATCACAACCATGGGATGTATATCGCTCAAGGGTCACTACCCAATGAGGAAAATAATCAAACGGTTCAAAATTATCCATTACCGCACCATCCGCAAGCTCAACTTGTTCCACAGGTTCAACAATCTTATCCATTACCCTCACAGCCGCACCCTTTAGGGGTACCGTTCGGTAAATATTTATGATGAAACTCTATCACAGAACATCCATATTGTAGATCAAAGTTTCCCAATACCTACAGATGGAATTCTTGGTAGAGATTTTTTTTTAACAAATTGGAGATGCAACATTGACTACGATACTTGGATATTGTCAATAAAAGCAGACAGAAAAACTTTAGAAATACCTATAACAAATAATCTTAAAGGAAAATATTTAATTCCACCTCGATGTGAGGTTATTAGAAGATTAAATTTAGAAAATTTAGAAGATAGTGTAACCGTTGCGGAGGAGATACAACATGGAGTATTTTACGCCAATAGTATAATTAATAAAAATTATCCATATGTTAAAATTATGAACACTTTAGACGTAACAGTGGAAATTCCAAACAGTTTTGTACCTAAGATAGTACCGCTTTCAGACTATAATATACTTAATTTGAACAAAGACATTAGCAACAATCAAAGGAACCAAAAATTATTGAATGAATTGGAACTAAACGGAATCGACCCAAAAATTAAAGGCAAGCTGGAAAAACTTTGAGAAGAGTTTAATGATGTTTTTTCATTGACTGATGAAGTGCTAACGGAAAATAACTTTTACAAACAATCAAGTCATTTGAATGATTTGAGTCCTACGTATATCAAAAATTACAGAATTCCTGAGGCGCAAAAGTACGAAATAGATAAACAAATTAAACAAATGTTGGAAGATGGAATAATTCAGGATTCTGTTTCTTCATATAATAATCCGATTCTTTTGGTGCCCAAAAAAATACTACCGGTGATAAAACTTGGCGTCTGGTAGTGGATTTTCGGCAATTAAATAAAAAAGTATGTGCAGATAAATTTCCTTTACCCAGGATTGATGAAATTCTAGATCAATTAGGGAGAGCGAAATATTTTTCAACGCTCGATCTTAAGTATGGATTTCTTCAAATCCCACTCACTGAAGAAAACAAGAAGTGTACAGCGTTTTGTTCATAATCTAGATAAATCATTAGATTTAATATTTTTTTAATAAAAACTATGCTAAAGGAATTGCCTTTGGGCTGAAAATTCCAACTATTAATAATAGCAATGTTCAAACGGATATAATTAAAAAGATTTTTATGGAAATTGAAAAGGGGGCCGGAAATAAAACCAATTAATAAAAACAATACATGCATGCTAGCTATCGCTATGAATGATCTAATATTTAAATACATACAACATTTAAACAAATTGGCAACGATATTCTTAGGAGTACGACCGTATTACTTTTCAAAAAACCGAGAATCTTGACTCGACAAGATCAGGTATATAATATTTTAAAACTATATCATAATTCGCCCACTGGAGGACATTTAGGTATTAACCGGTTATACCGTAAAGTGAAATCCATGTATACGTGGCAGAATATGAAACAATCCATTTCAAATTATGTTAAGGGGTTACCCCTACCTGCAAACTTTCAAAAAATCGATTTTGTCCTAATCGAAAGTATATTAAGTCAAGAATATTTCCTCAAAAGATCAAGTTGATCCGATGCAAATTGTGAAAGTTATGCGACGTACAAAAATATTCACTTATAGTGGACTAAACCCAACTTGAAACTTTAAACGCGATTATCTCGGAATCATATTTTCAAAACCGGTACATTCGATTCGTCCGATTCATTTTGATTTCTGTTCAGTACTATTTTGTGCAGTCCACAATCGTTCGGATTTCGTCTATCATTTAATTTCGATTTTTTACAGCCGATCAAAGACAAATTTTAAGGATCAAAAATCGGCACTTCAACTTTGCAAGGCCGCCATTTTGTTAAAAAAATTAAAAAAAAAAAACCGAACGATCAAGGGCTAGTCTAATAGCGAATTCGTTTATTATCGGGGTTAACACCAGTTCCAACCCAGTGCGAAACCGACATTTTTGTCAGTGTGAACCTCAACCTGAGCTAGGTTTTAAAAACAAACGAGCAAACTGACGTTTGTCAGAAAACGAGCAGACCCAATCTTGATACCCGATCCAGGTTGGAACTGAATAATAAACGAATTCGCTATAACACATGCTTAACGATTTGGCATGGCTTTTTCAGATGATTACATCACAAACCGCAGTTGGCACCGCAAAAAGCGTTTTTTAGAACATCGTCCACGGGGAGCAGCCGTGCGGGGCACCAGGACCTCGTTTTTACAGCATCGACTGATAAATGTACCATTTAATGTGTGTTCAATAAACGGCAGAAAACCGATTTTCAATATGTTGCGTCGTTTTCGAGAAAAAAAAATCCAAACTTTCGCTTTTTTTCGGTCTTGCAGGTAGGCGTAAACCCTTAAATCATGTGTAGAATGTAAGTAAAATAAACATTTTCCTTCAATCAAAACTAAAGCAGTAATTACGTCAACACCAGTTAAACCATTCGACGTTGTGTCAATAGACACAGTCGGACCATTTTCACTTGCCGAAAATGGAAATCGTTACGCTGTAACTATGCAGTGTGACTTCACAAAATTCGTTATAATTGTTCCAATAACAGACAAATCATCATCTACAATAGCTAAAGCAGTTGTTCAGCATTGTATTCTTAATTTTGATCCTATGTAATGAAAAGTATTAAAACTGATCAAGAAACGGAGTATAAAGGAGTATTTGACGAAGTATGTAAACTCATCAGCATTAACCATGTATGTGCAACTGCTTACCACCCTCAAACTATAGGAGCATTAGAGAGAAACCATAGGTGTTTAAACGAATACCTACGGATTTTCTGTAATGAATCCAAATCAGATTGGGACGAATGGGTACCACAATACTGTTTTTCATATAATACCACCCCTAGTGCAGATCATAACTATACGCCATTTGAATTAGTCTTTGGAAGAAGATGTAACAATATACAATTTTTGGCTAATGAGAAGAAAACTCCGCTTTATAACCATGATTCATATATTAATGAGTTGAGATACAGGCTGCAAATTACACACTCAAAAGTTTTGCAGGAAATAGTCAAAAGTAAAACACAAAGAACAACAACAATAAACAAAAACATTATAAATACACCCATAAAAATAGGAGATTTAGTATACCTAAAATCAGAAAATAACTACAAATTAGATCAAGTCCATACAGGCCCATACAAAATCATAAATCTAACCGATTCAAACGCAACCATACGAAATGACAAGAAAATAATAGAAGTTCACAAGTCTAGATAACATAAAAACAGCAAATAGACAGAGTAAACTTTAACTCTCCTGAGGGGGATGGAAAGAATATATAGATAACATACATTAGATAATTCAATAAAGATTAAATTTTATACAGAATATGTAACTTGTCCAAAAGAAGAGATATAATAATGTAATAAATGTAACTATGTGAGAGATACTTGAAAACATTCGAAAGCAATTTATTTTCCGTAGGGGGATGGTGTGACATGTGTATCGCACATGTTAACATATCCCAAAATTCTCAAGGACCACACTTATCCACACCCTGTAGATTTCCAACGCCATCGACCTGCGTTATGCAACGAATGCAAATGAGTTCATAAAGCAGTTCGATGACTTAAAGCCTGACCCGACAATAAACGTGTTAGGGTCATATTTCACCCGACGACGCGCAAACAGCGTGTCGTTGTCAAGCGCATTTGGTTTGGCGCAATTAGCCTTCTCCAGAATTCTCTCTCCCTGTCCTCTCTATTTTCCTGTATCGATCGCTGATTGGTGATCCGATACATAATAATACATAAGTGCTTTCAAGTGTCTCCAAGCTAAGCTATGTAAGAAGGATTAAGTAAATTCTGAATAAATTCATTCTTAGTTCGATCCTCACGCGAGCATGTTCAATCAGTGGCAAAATATCACAGTCAAATAAATCCAAGGTTACACTGGGTAGTATATATCTAGACCAACAATTGAAATAGGCGGAACAATCAATCGTAAACAATGGCTTTAAACGCAAATTCCTCGAGAATCAAAGCACATCCAAGCAATCTAACACCATCATTTGATTTTCCATTATCGAATGGCATTGTTAGTTTGTGTGGGAGTGTTTTGATTCTCGAGAATTGTGTTTAAAGCCTTAGTTTACGTTTAGTTGATTCGCCTATTTCAATTGTTGGTCTAGATATGTACCCATCCATAATATCAAACGTTACACAATCCAAACGGTTATTAATGTTTTTTTTTCAAACCATACAGATATAAAAAAGGCCGCAATAATTCGGCAGAGCTGCCGAGTGGACTTGGGCTTACCTCATTTCCCTCTATAGTTAGTTTATCTTACCTTCGGTGATCAACTTGGCAATCTTCCGTTTGGAAACCACAGTGTAATTCACGTTCAGACGGCCGTACTCCCATTGGACCGGGCAATAAATGTCCAATGCATTGCAGAGCCAATAGTAAGAAGATCGTCGCGACTGAAATTCCTTAGTACATAACGAATGTGTGATGTCTTCGATACTGTCACAAAGACAATGCGTATAGTCATAAGTCGGATAAATACACCAATCGCTTCCGGTTCTATGATGGGGAATGAACTTGATTCGGTAGGCTACGGGGTCCATTTTTCCCTCTTCTAATGTTAACTTCATACGTAGTGTTGCAGCGCCCTCGTTGATTTTGCCAATCTTCATGTCTTCAAACAGCTGCACATTTTCCTCAATAGGACGGTTACGCCATTTGGACGGTTCTGGATTAAAACCTTTCATCTCATCTGCCGTTTGGTGACAAACATATGCTAATCCCTTTTTAATTAACAGCACTGCCCACTCATACAATTGTTGGAAGTAATCTGAGGAATGTGTTATTTGGTAAGGCTTATAACCAAGCCATTCAACCATATCCTTAATGCCAATGAAAAACTTTTCTTCCTCTTTCTCTGGATTTGTGTCGTCGTAACGCAAGAAACAAATGCCATTTTTTGTATTGGCATACCCAAAGTTAATATTGATGGCTTTAGCATGACCGATGTGCAGTATACCATTAGGTTCGGGAGGAAACCGGGTTCGAACAAATCCACCCGTACGTTTCAAATGCTCTATCAGCAAAGTGTTGGTTTTGTTAGTAACTACATAACCATCAGTTTTATGGTTATCACCTGGAGCGTGAAAATGTACTGACTTCATTAGCTCTGAAATTGATTTCGCACCATCTGACGCGGATTCGGAATGCAAATCGTATAGTGTATTGTTATTGATCTGATGAACCACCTTCTCTCCTTTCGATTTTTTCTCAGATTTTGATGATGGTGCAAAATCCGCATCAGTTTTCGGACCAAGTAAGTCGAAAATTTGCACATCTACTTCATTTTTCATAGTTTTTCCATCTGCCCATCTTAGTTGACCACGTATTTCAGAAAGCAATTTACCAAAATTAAAACGATACCTTTGAGCTATGATTGCTCCCTTGTTTCGAGTAATCACAGCATCAACGACTTGGTCAATCTCTTCCGGCGTAACCATAACACCAACGCCACAAGCTTTCTCGAAATCCTCGACGTTGATAGATTTGGTTGTTCCATTAGCCAATAAAAACTCCAACGCGGCATCAACGCGTATTCCAGAATCCAATTTTCGTTGCAGAATATTCTTCATTAAAAATTCGAGATGATGCATAGTTTGATGCTTGATCTTGGTGCACGTTTGGTAAATTAGCAAACCTTCGCCTTCGTAAAAATCATGATCGGTAGGTACAAATGAAAGAGCTGTCATAATCGTTTTACTTAAGGCTGCATTCTTCTCAGTTTCTTTCGCCTTTTGGTCACTAAGTCCCAATGATTTTAGTTTTGTGATGCGTTCCTCTGAACTTGCAGCCATCGTTTTACGTAATCTACAAAAAACAGAAAGGTTGTTTAGTTTTAACGATTTTGTCTTGAGACCATATAGTGATTTCACGATTTTGAACCCCCCCTTTCGAAAACCTTTTTACTCTTCTTACAAAGAAGTGTATATATATCGCTTGGAAAACCGACTTTCGATCCAAGGCCCGACTCAGTCCGACGAGATCACAAAATGTGTATGCGTTTTTTTATAGTAAGGATAAAAATGATTTGTTATGTTCGTGTGTGTGTATTCAATCTAACCCCCACTGGCCGGCAGTGGTATTATGGCAGAAATTTGCTTACAACAATCCTTGATGTAATAATTTGAAGCAAGTTTAGTCCGTGAGTTAGAAACGATAGCTCTACTGCAGTATCAGCAACCCATTTCAGAATGCCTGGTAATTCACGTCCAATCCGAGGTTACTTTCACATACAATAAGCCCCGCATGTAAACACTACCGTTATCATATGAATAATGGTACTGCAAACACACTTCCAGATTTCGAAATGTGATGTTTCGAAATCTGGCGCGTATTTAGTAATATATGGAAATATGCATTTATGATTTATGATTGATTGAGAACCGGTTTGTTCACTCGCGGTAATCAAAAAAATCTTCCGCGTTGTTTTTACAACCCAACACAACATTTTGAATCACATTCGAAGTTTTTCATTTGCCAGGATAAAAATGATTTGTTATGATGTTAATCTCTACGTGTGCCCCACAGTGTGGGATACATAACCTCTAAAAAACGGGTCCCTACTCTCTCCTTCTAATGACATCTGTATCAAAACCGAATACTTCATCATTTATCAATGGTGATGCAGTAATACGACATGCACTCTAAGGACAAGAGATATACTACAATTGATCAAATTACTAATGGCAGTGATTGTATGTCATTCGACAGCCATTACTCGTATTCATCCAACGTGTGCTTTTTCTGCTCTGCTTAACTTGGTGAAATATTGTAGCGAAAATGAGTGTAGTTCGTAAAAACACACTTGTTGTTGACTTCAGTGTCCTTCCAGTTCGTCCCAATGCGGGAAAAGTGCAAAAAATCTTCGAAACAATATTAAGCTTCAATATTCGGACGTTAGATGCATTCAGTTTCATAACGTCCGAAATTTTGTTTTTATTTAGAATGATAGACAATGAAGTTGCCTTGCGCTATGAAAAGGCGCACAACCATAAACACGCATTTCTCTGTGCGAAGAGTGAGTTCAAAATCCCGGTATATGTGGATTGTGAAGCAGTGACCGTTCGAGTGCATGACCTTCCTCTGGCATGGCCACAAGCCACTGTTATGAATCACATGGCAAAGTACGGGACAGTGATTTCCAGTCGACATGAGAAATGGAAGCACTACTTCCCAGGATTCCTGAGCGGTGTTCGAGTTCTGCGAATGCGACTCGAAAGCGTCATTCCATCATACATCACGTGCCGCCATTGTGGCCGAGCAGCACATCCCAAACAGAAATGTTTGGATGTAGCCACATCGAACAATAGCACCGCTCCAGCAGCTCCACCAACCGAAGGGGTATTCAGTCTCGTTGATTTTCCGTCGATGGATATCGAACAAAACGTGATTACCTCTTACCCCAGCAGGCCTGGGTTCAATCCCAGTCGGCGCCGCCGGGATGTTCTGAGGCATAACATCTCTGATCACGCCTTCCTTCGGATGGGAAGTAAAGCCGTTGGTCCCCGGTTCATGAGTTGATGGGTCGATAGGTAGGGTCCAGGTGTGGGAGCTGCCTTCCTGGCACGTCGGTAGCATTGGTGCTCAGCACGGAAAACAAGATCGACGGAAAAAAACAAACCAAAGGAAAAAAAAAACGACATCGGGTCAATCATCTGCTGCATTCACCGGGTTCTCAGCAGAAGAACAACAGCAAAACACCGACAATCAAACCGATCATTACACTTCAAACGTTGAAAGCGAAAACTCTAGCACCAGCTCATCGAACGCAACAAAGGATTTCATTGAAAATACCAACAAACGCCGGCGGTCAAAGCACAAGGAGAACGAAAAAAAGAAAGTTCGTGCTGATCAGTGCACCCAGAAGACTGGTCAGTAAACAGATAGTTTAGATGAAAATAATGTAACTTATCAAATAGAGGATGATACGTTTTATTTGAAAAATAAAAGCGGGAACGGATCTAATTGTAAATAATGGTCATCGGCACAAGCAATGCTTAATAGGCGAGGGGGCCTCATAAATAAACGCAATAAAAAAAGTCCCGAATAGCTCTAAGCACTTCATTACGCTCCTCTCTGTCTGCTCCGTTCTGGCTTTTTCGCGTTTGGCTGGCTGAATGCGTTTTCTTGCTCTGATGCAACTAGCACAGAGGGTGCTGAGTTCCTCACTGAAAGCCATATGTTCTTTGGCTTCAGTTTCCTCGGCATGGTTGTGTCACATGCCCTCGTTAACGTTTAACGTGATCAGATCCGAGAGGCCACTGTCTACACGGTGTGCTTCAACCAGTGATGGTATAATCATTATCAAAATGATATTTTTTCGCTCTCATACGCTCTCCATATCACGTGTGATATTGGAGCAAAATATCATGCTTGATATTGATTTTTTTTTCTCTGTTCGGGACCTAGCACTACTGCGATATTGATTTTACAAGCTGCTTTGATATTGCGAGACTATTCACAACGTGTAAAGTTGAAGCTGAGAGTTGAATCGCTTCAAAAATGACTCCGTTGCACCCCATTTTCTTAGAAAGAGTAGACATAATAATGTTATCTTTTTTTCTTCTCTTCACCGACCTTCCATGATGGGTTTCGGTTGCGTCCGGGTGTAAAGCAAAAATCATGAAACTCAATCTCATCACAGTTCAGTGAGATTTGCAGCTGGTGAGTTTTACACGTATAAATACACCAAATAAACCAAATAAAAAAATACAAAAATAAACCATAAATTCGTAGGGAATTTGATATTATGTTAATGGTCATATATTTTCTTGGCAACCCTTCTCCTACATATCTTTTCCTACACTTAAAATAATCTACACGTGAAGCTACGTGAATAATCACGTAAGCTCTCAGTTTTACGTGACTCACGTAGAATGTATGTGATATCCCTTGAATTTCACATGGAGTTCCTTTTTAACACACCTACATAATCAATGAAATGTACGTGATTTTCCCATAACACAGAGTCTATGTGCGTTCCACGTAAAGCTTATGTGATTTCCACATCTGAAAAAGAGCGTTGCAAATCATGGCGGGATCATAATGTGCTTTTGTTTGGTATTCGGTAGTGGCAAGATGTAAGTATAACATGATGGATTATTTTATTCTCTTTAACAAAAATAAAATGTCTGTTTCATCGTGCTCAACAGAATGATGTTAAAGCTGTCCATCAGTTTCTTCCTCTAAGGAAAAAAGTATCTCGACCCATCTCCCCATGATCGTCCAGATTGTTTGTACTGCGTATCGAATATTTAAAAAAAAATCTGATGTGATGTATTTAGAATATCTGAATAAATTAAAGAAATATTATCAAATTATACTACTATGAATACAGTAAAGATTGTATCTACATATTAAGGAAATATTTGTATGAACAGTATCAACATATTGATACTAAAATCGTCAAAAGAATGTCACTGACCAAATCACATAGCTTCTATGTGATAATACAGTGATGTTAACAAGTCAAATCCGTATCTCTTATGCATGGCGAAGCAGAGCGAACAGAAGCCACTACTGTTTTTCAGTGAATGTATTTTACATTCACTGAAAAACAGTAACAAGTTCTGCCCGCTCTAGTTCGTGATGCATAAGAGATACAGATTTGAGTTATGAGCAAAACTTGTAGCTAATAACAAAACCTACAATATGCAGCTTCCACACCTGCGTAGGATATCGCACCCATTCATACACACATGGGCCGAAGAAAGACGTGATCAGTGATTTTTATGCCTCAGAAAATCCCACCGACGTCGGCTGGGATTGAACCCAGACCCATTGGGGTAAGAAAGCAGTCACGCTTACCACTACACCACCGGCTCTAATAAATAACAATGGCATGGATAATAGTAATCCTATATATCAGAGGAAACATGTCAGAAGGGTATAACGTAACGTAAACAATGACTTTGAACGTCGATTTCACTTGAATGACCACACACCCACGAAATCTGACTACACCAGCTCATAGAACAAACATTAATGTTTGTTCTATGAGCTGAGTGGGTGTGTTGTCATTCGTAAGAAACCGACGATCCAAGACATTGTTTACGTTTCGAGTTAGACCTTTCTGACATGTTTTCTCTGATAGAGATTCGCGGTAGGATTGGGCGATCTTCAGATAAAGATCGATCTTATATTTGGCTCTAGAGTCGATCCACTGATTAAATCGGTACCAAAGAATCGATCTTTGATAGATCGATCTTATGGTTTTTATTTCAATTGACCTTTCTGAAGTTTATAACTCGTACACTTGCATAATCTCAAGTGCTTAGTTTGCTATCCTCACTTTCGCTCTAGCCAAAAAAGTTGATTTGTTATTGTTATCCTCACTTTCGGACTATACGCTTGTTTACGTTGGTACCTCAAGCAATTATTTCTATTATTTTTTTATTTCATTTAATGTTGTCGTGACGGTAAGAAGCAATGAGCACAGGAGGGAGGAAGCGAAAACCTTCAAATGTTGCTGTATTCACAAATATCGGAAACGCAAATAGTGACGCCATTGTAGGGAGCGATGCTGATTTTGACGTTATGTTCCTTAAATTTACCTCGCAGTCTGGGGTGAGGGTAAATCGTTTTTTCGATGTAAATACACTGGAGTCGCTTTTTACGCGGGTGATACGTCCCGTAAAAAGCGACTCCAGTGTATAACGATAAACCGCGTAGATTCTGAAATCCGCGTAAAAAAAACCGTGTAAATTCCGAAATTCACATAAAAAAAAAATCGTGTAAAAAGCGACTCAAGTGTACAATTACAAAATTTAAAACCTATTGCTTTTTTAAGATCGAAGGAAGAGATCGAT